GCAAACACGTCGACTAATATCTCAAGTTGACCTTCTTCCCTCTAAAGGTCACATTTGTTTATGTTTAAGATACGCTGGGGAATACGGCGCGTTTTTGGTTTGCAAATTGTAGTCAAAAGGGCTTGCTTGGAGCTTTGCGCAGAAGGACTTTTTCCACTTTCCTACAACCATATCATCCAAGAAAATTGGTACACCACTACTTTCCTCCGTTCTAGGTCGCCTTTTCCTGACTGGCGGCGCGTCGGCTAACAAGGATCTTCAGAAGATTCTATCAGATATGTTTGCCATGGATGCATACATCATTAACGTCCCCGACTCTGCTGCCTTAGGAGGAGCAATGCTTGCAAGATACGGTATTCAAAGGAATTTTGGTAGAAGTTCACTCACTGCTGTCTTTTAATTCCAGTACACTACAACCCTTCATCATCCTATAGCGACTACTACAGAAATACAAGCATAGAAAAAGTGGCGGAACCAGATCTCAGGATGTCCAGGATCTACAGGGAAATGCTGCCAGACCTAACAGCACTATTCAAACTTTTGCCTGAGAAACCCTAAGACATATAATATATTACTAGTGGTGTATAGTATCTCCACAGCTAAATTATCAAAACGGTGAAATGATGAGACTAATTCTATGAGCTTGAATCATACTTTGTTTTGGTTTGATGTGCCATATATATATTTTTACAATTGGTTGAATAAAAATGTAGTTCCTGTACATAAAAAGCTAGAAATAAATTTTAAAATTTTTTAAAACAGAAGTTGTATAGCATGAAATGCTGTTTTTGCGACCGTAACTTTGTTGGCCCATAACTTTGCGCAGACAAGATATTTTTAGCCGAGATAACCTCCACTGCTTCTACGCACTTTGCCAGTAAGATAAAATGTAATCTCATTGCCAAAAACAAAATGGAATTTCTAGAAGCAGAAAAGGTTTCTGAAATTTCCATCATCCCACTTGTAAACAATTTCAGTAGCAACATATAACATCTATTGAGCGTTACCTAACCCTGATGAGCAGTTTACTTGGACGTGGGTTGAGAAGTCTTATACGCATCTAAGCGCAAGCATGACCTGTTCACTTGTGGTTTACTCTTGGCCGCAAAAAAATGTTCCATTCAAATATAACCTTCTGTTTGATCCCGCGAAAGGAATAGACGCAAAATGTCATAGCAAGACATCTGTTGGTCAGTGAAATGATGAGTGAGACATTTGAGGGTCGGCACCTATAGACGGTGCAATCGTGGCGTGCTTGCATAGCATCTTGCGCCTAATACAATCTCATTATC